GTTAATAGATACACGTGTGGTGTCTGTAGCTACATATGTAGTATGTCAATAGATTTACGTGTAGTGTCTGTAGCTACACATGTAGTATGTCAATAGATACACGTGTGGTATATCCGTAGCTACACATGCAGTATGTCAATAGATACACGTGTGGTATATCCGTATCTACATATGTAGTATGTCAATAGATACACGTGTGGTATATCCGTAGTTACACATGTAGTATGTCAATAGATAAACTTGTGGTATATCCGTAGCTACACATGTAGTATGTCAATAGATACACTTGTGGTATATCCGTAGCTACACATGTAGTATGTCAATAGATACATGTGTGGTATATCCGTAGCTACATATGTAGTATGTTTATAGATGCACATGTGGTGTCTGTAGCTACATATGTAGTATGTCAATAGATATACGTGTAGTGTCTGTAGCTACACGTGTAGTATGTTAATAGATACACATGTGGTGTCTGTAGATACACGTGTAGTATGTCAATAGATACACGTGTGGTGTCTGTAGCTACACATATAGTATGTCAATAGATACACTTGTGGTATATATATTCATAGCTACATATGTAGTATGTTTATAGATGCACATGTGGTGTCTGTAGCTACACGTGTAGTATGTTAATAGATACACATGTGGTATATCCGTAGCTACACATGTAGTATGTCAATAGATACACATGTGGTGTCTGTAGCTACACATGTAGTATGTCAATAGATACACTTGTGGTATGTATATCCGTAGCTACATATGTAGTATGTTTATAGATGCACATGTTGTGTCCGTAGCTACATATGTAGTATGTTAATAGATACACATGTTGTATATCCGTAGCTACACAAGTAGTATGTCAATAGATACACATGTGTTGTCTTTAGCTACATATGTAGTATGTCAATAGATGCACATGTGGTTTATGTAGTTACACATGTAGTATGTCAATAGATACACATGTTGTGTCCGTAGCTACATATGTAGTATGTTTATAGATACACGTGTGGTATATCCGTAGCTACATATGTAGTATGTTTATAGAAGCACATGTGGTGTCTGTAGCTACACATATGTCAATAGATACACGTGTGGTATACCCGTAGCTACACATGTAGTTTGTCAATAGATACACGTGTGGTGTCTGTAGCTACACATGTAGTATGTCAATAGATACACGTGTGGTATACCCGTAGCTACACATGTAGTTTGTCAATACATACACGTGTGGTTTTCGTAACTACACTTGTAGTTTGTCATTAGATACACGTGTGTTGTTCGTAGCTTTACATTGAGTTTGTCAATAGATACACGTGTGGTGTCCGTAGCTACACATGTAGTATGGTAATAGATACACGTGTGGTGTTCGTAGCTAAACATGTAGTATGTCAATAGATACATGTGTGGTGTTTGTAGCCACCCATTTAGTTTGTCAATACATAAACGTGTGGTTTTCGTAGCTTCACCTGTAGTGTGTCATTAGATGCACGTGTGTTCTCCGTAGCTACACATGTAGTTTGTCAATAGATGCACGCGTGGTGTCCGTAGCTACACGTTTTTCATCATTGATATGATGGAACTTATGCATATAGGAAACACTGTGTCCGTTTTATTACATCATTCGTGATTACATGTGATATCCTGTGTATCCTTACAAACGAGACAAATCCTGCCAGTAAGGATGTTTCATGGATAAACCCATTCACTATAATTCGTAGAGTCAATTACGTTGGAACAAATTGATCTACTGGTGTTACACGAGTATTCCTTATTTAGCCTACAATTTGGAAAAACAGTTTGTATGACGCATGGATTTAATATGTCGCCTGGAAAGTCTTGTAGTAGATCGATTTTAGAGATGTGGGCTCCAAAGAGCCTCCGCTGACGTTACAGCCTGCACACCTTCACTGCCCTGGGAAAGGCTGCCAGCAAAGGCACTGTTCGTAAAACCCTGGCCTTTTACTGCACGCTGGAAGCCAACCGTCTCAAAGGTTTCATAGTGTCATCACACAATAGTGAATTATGGTGAAAGACGGATTCACAAGACATTTAATTGCAGTGATGTGTTATTGTTGGAACTCGCAGATGGAGGAATATTCTTGAATACTAGTCATATGTATATAAGTTCCCCGATGAACCTCTAAAGAGGTGAAAGCACTAGGGAGGTACTAGGAAACTCTTGTCATTTGTTTAATATATATGCATATGATTGTGAGAAAAATAAAAGCATACCGCAATGTCAACACAACCTTAATTCGAACTAAGTAAATAGGGCAAAATATGTACAAATAAAAAATAAACCTAGATACTATTTAAAAAAATTAAGGGAAAATTAGAACAGGGCCCAGTTGTTCAAAAGGTGGTAAGCTTAAACACTGTTTAACGTCAATTTTCAACCTTTGATAACTTCGTCAATATCCAAGGTAAAATCTCTAAATTTTGCATATGAATTCACTTTACTAAATAATTGATATCTGAAAAGTTCTATCTAATTCACTAGTTATGTTTTAAAGTTACAGACAAATTAGAATTTGCGCTCATCAATGATTAAGCTAATCACCTTTTGAACAACTGGGCCCGGGTGTTGTGGAAAGATAAGCGTCCTCTGCTTCATTGACGACACCCATCATGAAAATATAGGTCAGTAGGTCAGATCTATGTAATGTCATGTCCTCAAAGGGACAACCGGAGTAAAGACAAAGTATCAACAAGGTACACTAATGAACATAGGCAGAATTATTTACCTGAATATCACACAAAGAAATAGCATATTTACCAATAAGACCATGATGACGACTTCAACGTTTGCTCATAGTCTTTGTCAACCTGTATTTACGGAATTAACGTCTGATAAGTTTGAACGTCTGCAGTCGGCATCCATCTAGTTTGTAGTGTTCTTATATACGATCTATGTTGTTATTAATTCATCAACGGCTTATAATTGTATACGTCCTCAGTCGGCATCTATCTCATTCGCAGTGTTCTTAATTTCAGGTTAGGGAAGGTATATACGTTCTACGTTACTATGAAATGTCTTGCTTTTTTAAATGTATCCAATCATCGATATATTTGTAAGTGAAAGTCAAGTATTTTTATGGGTAGATTGGTCGAGTGGTTAACACTCCGGCCTTCCAAGCAGGCGGCCGGGGTTCGATCCCCGAAGTCGCCGTACGCATGGAATATTAGAGAAAGTGATTTTCTCCTGCCGACACAACTCCAACAACCCAGGTGGAGTATAAAATGGGCTGGGTGGGTGTTGCGGTATCTGTGCTGTAGCATTCAAGTGAGGTGGCACTATAAATGATCCCGTTGGAAGCACGGTCCCACTACAAACAGAACACAATACATCTCCAGCACACACACACAGGCATATACACATAGGGAGATATTAGCCAGGTGGCATAGGACTAGTAGTTAGCGCCTGATAAGGCAGCTCCTGCGAATTCCTCAATATTGTATTGATTAATATATATGCTAATTGTATTGACTGTATTAAATTGTATATCTATGTACTGTAGTGCGCTTTAGAGTGGCTTATGTTAGCTAGAGAGGGCGCTATCTCAAATGTTCTATATTCATTTATTTTGCAAAGTTTTGTAACCAGACCTGATAGCTCTTCAATAGATTAAGTTTCATATGGGTACAAAAACGACTCGGCCAGATGAGGACACTCTTTGTTCCCATATGAATGCTAACAGTCTACTGGGAAATCCAACAAACGAACTCAGCAAGTATATTGTCAACCAATATGACTGATTACAGAGGAATGTTATAAAGCAGTAGATACATTTCAACAGACTTGACTTGCTGATGAATCGATTGACTACAGGATACTTTTGTATCCAACTGTCCAATAAAAGGACCTTATAATTACAGTATATGTGTTATAATGGAACTGATAGGTCGGGAAATCTCCTGAGGGCTATTGTGGTAAATTAGGTACAGCTATTACTCACTTAATTATTTATCAGTAAGTTTTTGTATCCATTCGTTTCGGAAAAGTTATTGTCTGTGTATAATTTTCTTTCAATGACATTTATTTAATATATATAGCTTGTATCAATTTGGTATATTTTTAGCCAACAATCATCAGACGGTGGGCTATTCAAATCGTCCGTCGTCCGTCCTTAAACAGTTCTTGTTATCGTTTTTTTCTCTCAGAAAGTACTAGATTGATCTTTCTCAATTATTGATGAAAGTTCCCTTTGGTCTCTTGTTGTCCATGCTTACTTTTGAGACTGATCGGATAAACATAATGGCTGACCAGCGGTCATCTTGGATTTTGACAGATAAGGTTCATTATTGCTATTACTCAGTAGATACCGGATGGATGTTTCTCAAATTTGGTATGTTGGTGGGTTTTTTTTGGCTATTTCTCAAAAAGCGTTTTTGACAAAGATATCTCAAATTCCCTATGGAGGGTCCCTTTCGTCCATAATTGAGCACTTGTTATTTCGAGAACGATTGAAAAAAAACAATATGGCAGAAAGCGGTCATCTTGGCTTTGGACATTTCAAGAATATTATCACTGCTTCCCAAGAAGTACTTTACAGACCTTTAGTACATTGCAATGATCGGATCTATTACTTTCACTCCGAGTTCTGAACAAGTAAATATGTAAAGCGACAAACTCACTTTGAAGGTTGTCTTTTATACACATAAATGCATACGTATAAAGTTATTGAAGAGAAAAGAAGAAAAAAGACTGAACTGACATTGAACTAATGAAGATGGTACAATTAATGTAAGATGGTGGACGCCGAGATCCCTCTGAGATACGTATCTTGTCTTATGGATAAGGTGTATTCGCATGATATAAAGGGTATTTCTCGCTGAGTAAATATGCAAGTGACCTCAGAATTATTTTTACACTCACTGAGTAAATGTGTAAGTAACCTCAGAATTATTATTACTTTGTTCGTCGCGGAGAGGCTGTCAGAACGGCACTCTCTAGATAAGATGGATTTAATATTGTATCCTATTTGTCTTTACAGTGAGTCTCATTTGTGTGCCGATGGCCGTAGGACAAGCCCTCTACCGGGTTTGGATATACGGGGAGTTCATGTGTAAAGTCACAGTCTATTTACAAGGTTGGTATTTCATACTGCTGTACGGGGCCTGATATACAGGCAGTTTGTGTATTAAATCGCATATTATGTCCTTTATGATTTGATCATGTACCCATTTGTTTTCAACTGCGTATATCTATCTGCACCTATTACAAAAAGCTTAATTTAAACGTACGTCAAACATCACTGGTGTGGGTGCAAAGGTTAAGATGATTACTTTCATCTAAATGTCAGTAATGAAAAGGACAAAACAATGGCGGAATACCGAACTTTTCGAAGGTGTACGTCACGGGAGACGTAGGAACTGTTTCTAGTTGTACTGGTTCTATTTTTATATTTGACGTCCGTTGTCTATTCTTCTTCAGGTGTGACAGTAGCCGCCAGTATCTACACCATAGCTGTTCTCAGCGTGGATCGTTTCCTTGCCATCAGACATCCGATGATTTTCCGACGGGTCAGCAACACGAGGTCTGCAGTTAAACTTATAACTGCTATCTGGGTGTTGTCAGTAGCCATCATGTGTCCCCTATTATTCATGAGGAGGGTGGACGTGGTATCAGTCATCCCTGGCGAGCCTTTGTATCTGTGTAATGAAGTGTGGCCAGATCTTGCACATCGCCAAGTATATGACCTTCTCCTGTTCGCCATTTTGTATGCGGTACCCGGTGTTATTATTGGCAGCTCATATGGTCTCATAGGAAAGGAACTATGGACAGAGGACAAGAATTTACAACGAACTGAGTCAGAAACTAGTCGGGGTCTTGGTAAACACGTCATGAACGGCAGGAAGAGGGTGGCGAAGATGCTGATAGCGCTGGCCATCCTTTTTGCCGTGTGCTGGTTACCGTATCATATTGTAAGTCTATACTTAGACTTTCATAGACGTCACGTGCAGCCCTTTCTCACAGTACTTCCGTTTACAATTCTTGTAGGACATGCTAACAGTGCTCTTAATCCAGTTTTATATTTTTATTCAAGCAAAAGTTTTCGTAAATATCTATTTAGATTTTTAAAATGTAAGAAAAGAAGTGCAAAAAGAAATTTTGCAGTCCGGTATACGCCTCCTAATGGTGCTTTTGAAATGCGTGCTACTAATCGGCCGCGCATGCGTGTGATATCGTCAAGTACATTCACGAGAACGAGGTCTACAGACAGTTTCCGGTTTTCACGATCGTCAAACGCAAGTTTAAAATCCACAAATACAGTGACACGGTCGCGAGATAGTTCCTCGAGAGACAGATGTATATCGCGAGAAAAGTGTTATTTCAGAATGGACACAAAAGCCTTTAACCTCACTGTGCCGGGACAGGGAAAAAAGTACGAAACTATCAAGGCACTCGTTTATGCTCACAAAAGGGAGATTCTCGATAGATCTCTCAGTATCCCTACGACAATCAACGAGGAGAGCAGCAGAAAGGAGTCGTTAACGCCAGCTCGCCCTCAGGCTAACCAAGCGCTTATTCCACAAATTCCGGAATTGGAAGAAATTGAGCTTTGTACATGAAAGAAAGACAGATATATTAAAAATGTTCGTTTAACGTAAATTGAAATGTGCTCCAACGGCAATGAAAAAAAGATCAACGAACTGAAAGGATTTCTCTGGGAGATAGAGACGGTTAACAAAGCAGGGTCTCTTATGAGATAGTAAATTGAATTCTTTGTCTGCTGTCTACCGTCATCAAATGATATTTCCTCTAAACTAGGGGAAACTTGGCATTAAAGAATATGAAAACCCATTTCACTTTTCTTATTTTTTAAAGGAAACAATGTCGTCAGCATTTATCATTCTGCCGGTCTCGTACTTGTTCGGCAAGCCGATTTCTGCCGCGTCAGCAAGTTCAACATGATAGACAAAAGTAGATAATGTTTTTTTGTTTTGTTTCCTTTTGATTATTTATCAAGTGAACCGTGTAGTAATGTTTCGCTGGTGAGCATTGTGAATACGGTCACATACATATGTTGAGTATTTCTTATTAAGAATTCAACTAGACGATAGAGTCAAAGGCATGTTTGTCAATAATAAAATATTGATGCTTTTACTTTATTTTAAATAACTTTATTTTTTTTGAAACGGCACAATAACCATACTTTGCAATAAAGAACTAATTACATTAATTTATACTCAACATCAGACCTTAAACAAAAATTCTAAAACCTCAATAATAAGTCATGACTTATTGTCATTGCTAAAACACCTTACAGATCTGGTGTTCCTTGTATACACTTGAAGTATATCTTAGGGTTATTAAGGTGTGCTGTGTTTTCATGTACTACACTGTGAAAATTGTAAGATATTTGACTTAGTCTTTATTTAGTGGGTTTTGCTCAAATGCTACAAAATAGTGAAAATAAGCTTCCTCTTAGTGATCATATTTATTAGTCCGTGGTACAGAAAAATGATAATTACATTTTAAAATCACAAGAAGACTGATAATCAAGGCCTTTCGCTGTTCCACAGTTCTTTAGAACTGTGTGTTTTGTATTACGTCATAACGTATGCCCCTATATTATTACGCTGATTTATTGTACCTCAAAGTATACAATTATATATATATCAGAACATGATATCGTTTTGTACCATGTATAATATCGACATTGCTTTCAAACTATTTGCCGAAAGAAATGAATTCATTCATCCTTCATTTGCAGTTTGTAGGAGTTTTTAACCCACCAATTTGCTATAGAGATTTTGTACTTTTAGTTTTATGTGTGTCTACATCTGATGTATCTGATACAGCTCTAAAGACGGAGATATTTTATAAATGTTATTCTGCTACATTGTAATAACAGTGAAATTTCTTCTTTTCCAAGTACTTTTAAGGGCTAACGCTTGATGAGTTTTTGCAAGTATATATGGATCCACGTCATATTATATACACAGTAGATAACACGTCTTACTCTTACTCGCCCACACAGGATCATGTTCCGAATTATATGTATTTTCGGTTAAATGGCTTATTGCAAACCAAATTACATTGGATTTGAAGTAACTTTGAAGACCTGAAATTCTAGCGAGATGAGATTTTAATCTTATAGAGTTACATTAATATTTTTTGTTAGAAACCCTACTTTCATTTGTAATGGATATAAATGGTTGGATTTACTTTACACGTGTCATGTATCAATGTGATATTAAACAGTACGGTATTATCTGTCTGAAATTATATAAGCGAGTGATTATACGGTTCTTTAAAAACAGGGAGTGTAAAGTGAAAAATTAGCAAACCTAATAGCAGCTGTAGACCTATTAAGCTGTATCAGAACATTGGTGCTTCGCTGCATAGGCCGTTTATGCGTCTATTGACGTAATCAGGGATATCATTGCACTCCTGCATCAACGTTGTTGCGCGTTCTTGATGGTAACAAGGCTTATTTGGGCGGCGTCGAACTCGTTTTTCCTTGGCATGTACTACTGGTGACATAGATACGGTCAATCCAAAAACGGACATTTCAGAAATGTCTTGCTAACAGTACTGATGCGTTTGAATGTGTTGCTTTGTTTGAAAACATCGTCCGCTCCATGACATTGCCAAATAATGGACAAGAACTGGTTACAATTTAACATCTCGAAAACAGAACTCGGTCAGTTTTTTCGTTGACAATAATAAGCATTGTATGTTAACCACAGAAATACCACAGAACCACCCTGACGCCGATACTATTGAAATGGATTCGCTCGAGGAAGCAACAGTCAGCACAAAGATTTCTAATCAACAGAACTCTTTCTACTACAAACTAAATCGTTATCTTACAAGCAATACTTTTCAGGCTCTCTATACGGTAAACATACCACATTGTAACCTTTTTTGGTAATTGTTGAGTATATATCTGCCGTTAGCGCACTGGGATAAAGTCCTTTGTTTCTTTTTACAATGCCTTTAGTACAAACAAAATCTTAACAGAATTGATCAATTTTTTATACTTAAAATACATGTATAACTACACTTACCACTGGTCACTCAGTCGCCTTCCATGTCTAGTCAATACAAAATGGGTGGTAGCCCCTTATTGACTGCTTAATTTATATTTTGCTTAAAAAGTAACTTTTTATTGTCATAAATTAAACGAATGTTTTTCTAGTTAGATGTATATATTCCAATGGTAAAGCACGTTTGATTATTAATACTTACTTCACCTGTTATAGGTTTGAACTTCTCTGCTGTTGTTATATACGTCAGTGGAAGGAGTCAATGATCATAATATTCTGTAGATTATCACAGGGCCTATTTTCCCCTATCAGAATGCATGCTATTATTATTTTTATTTTATTTTTAGAATACACTTATATTGTATAGGAATTACATCGAAACGTATTTGAGCAACAGGCAATGCCTATAAATAGTCCTTTTGTTAAAAGATAAACAGTGTATACATATAATATTTTTGGTAGCGGTATACAGTCCTTTATATTACAGATAAATATTGATATGAAACTAAATGAATTATTTTTGGGTGACAGTTTGTTATAATTCTAATACCAAACCAGGGCTGCTACAAATAACGGCAAGAGAGTCAGGCATGAGTTGAAGACCATCACAGACAAGTTGCCCAACAAATCACAACATTCTGAGCCGAAATCCCACGCCCGTAGACTAGCCAATCAACACAGGCTACGCTACAATAATTGACCAAAAACTCAGAAAAAATGTATAATACAAACGTCTAGTATCAAAAATAAATCCAATAAAACCTCCAAAATAGATATATTCAAATTAACATCAAACTTTGAACTTGAAGATTAAACATTTGATGAAAAATTATCACGCAGACCAGATTTTGAGTAAGGAAAGTTAGCCGTTTGTTTCATTTAGAGACGACAATGGAGGAATAGGTTATCGCAGTCTTCGGTAGGATAACTACACATATAGACATGATTTATTGTTTGACAAAGACCTCCTTTTTGTCACCGTGATATTTAAAAACGACAGTAAAATGGGATTAAGCATCAGTATCAGGTGTGTATCATTTTTTTTCTCTCGTTAGGGCTTACATTGATATCATTGTGAGAAACAGACAACTTGTATCGTTCCATTCAAACATAAAAATCGAGAAAAAACTAGTATTATAAAGATGCGTCTTTGCTATTGTTACATCGAATAGTCTATTGTGACGAAAGTAATATTTTTCAGTGTAATAATTGGCATATGCCTGAATAGATTGATACAAAGTAATTTTTAAAGTAATATTTTAATGAAGATGTCCTTTTTGATTGAATGTTAATAAGTACATGTATGACTTGTTTTAGAGTTACAAATAGTGTTGCTACAAATAAGTCATTATCATTTGACCAAACTATAATATGTAACAGGGCATAGTTTGAGATTCTATCTTAATTCTATTTCCTATTTCTGTTAAAACAATAGGGCTTTCCTATGATAATGAGTGTATGTAATAATCGAGTATTGTAGCTCCATGTAGCTTACATCATGTACAATGTATAATGTTTGTTTTACTCAAAATTATCATTAATCCGCGCTGATTCTTGAACGAAATGCCAGGATGTTAATATTTGTGTGGTGATTAGGTAGTACATCCCGACATTGGGAAAGTCCAATATCGAATAAATAACCAACTTTACGCTGGTTAGTTAGTAATTTTTCGGTACGTTTTGGTAGGGTTTATTACGGGTTATCAGGGTTTTAAAGAAGATGAGCAAGATTTAGCAAGAATACCACGGTTCTTTGTGTAGCCTATAATCACTATCTCAGACACAATTCGTGAGGTCGTCCAAGCTGGTACTAAGGAGTATGGTAAACTAGTACTGTCTTGAAGTGAATTACAGTGCGGCTTTGAACTCTATGGCACTATCGCCAGGTTTTCGGTTACATGGATTGACGCAAAAGGCTGAAAGGATGGATCATCTACCAGTGCAGATACAAGAGATTCTACTCGATATCAGTGCTGACACTGGTAGATGAGGACTAAACTTGAAACATCTAGTCATCTAGATTCTGACAAGTAACTAACATTATTAACATTTGTTTATTGTAACCACGTCCCAGAACGACCCCCGTAGTCGTAAGTGATGTTACTTGAAGTAACTATACTTTTCGTAATGATATACTACACCTACGTACCATTTTTTTTCTTTCAAAACAATGAGTGAGGAAGTCAGTCAGTATATACAATTTGACCGATTAGAGGCCACGGCGGCCATCCTGGTTGTAAAAGATGGTCAATGAGGTCAATGTACTGTTCGTGACGACATACAATACCTACATATCAAATTGAAACGAAATCGGTCAATGTATTAAGTTCGACCTACAGAGACCGTGTTGGCTTTCTGGGAAAAGCAGAGGCCAAAACATAGGTGTCTTGCAAATGTTTACCAATACTCATATGAAATGTCATTGGAATACGCCTTGTAGTTTCATAGGAAATGGTGGGTCACCGTTCGGCTAATCAGAAGAAGAATGTGATAAAACCAATAAGGTCGCAAAATCATTTGGGTTGAGAATGGGACAAACAGTTCTGCATGCAACGATCAAATATTCAATATGACAT